GTAATTGGTATTTATATGTTATATAAAATTATTATCTAAAGTTATATATCAATTAATTATAATGACATAATTTAAGATAGAAAGAATATAAATCATAAATCAATTTATGTAGTATTTTGTTGGGTGTCTAGGTTCAATGAAAGGTGGACCCAAGTTGTAAGCTTAAGGATTGTAGTTTCGAATACAATCATAAATCAACTTGTACTATTTTTTGGGTGTCTAAGTTACTTGAAAGGCATGTTCACATCATAGTCTTAAGGATTGTACGTAGTTCAAATCTCTACCGACAAAAATTGTATTTCTTATATTTTCTTTTATTTAGGTAATTTAGTGATTGATTGAGCTCAATAATTAGGTATTAAAAATTTATCCCTAATAAAGCTTTATCATTTTTTTTTAAATAAATTAAAATACTTTTAGTATATGTAAAGTTGAAGTACTATACTTAACATCTAATGTAAATACAAGATATAACAACTTGTAAATTAAGACACTCAAATTTAATAAGCCTTAACAACAAAATTAGGACTAAAAAAGAGTGACATGTTCCTAAAAATAGACTTCTTTAGGTTTTAAAATCGAACTTATGAGAAGTGAAAGAAAGATTCGAAAAATTAAAAAAGAAAAGAAAAAAAACTTCATATTTGTATAAATTAAGGTTCGACCATTCATCTGAACTTATAATTTGATTATAATTGGCCGTTCAAAAACAAAAAATTGATTACTACTATAATTTATTCACAAGGGATGGATTCCAATCAATTTATCTCTGGTTAAAAATTTATTTAACCACCTCCTATTAAACTAATTAAGCTATGAAATCAATAAACAACAATACCAATTTGTTTCCGGTGCCTGCAAAAAACCCTATGAACCAATTAACAATACAAACGAACGCTACATTTTTTATGTTCTTCAATTTCATCCATGGGTTTTGTGGTCTTCTTCCTTCTTCAGCAGGGGTTTTGGGAACCATTAAAGAACTGGGGCTCGAGCTTGGTTCTGCAAAAAGGGCAAACAGTGTGATCAGAAAGCCAAGTATCAACACAGTGCAGATGGAACCCATGGTTGCATCCAGGGATCAATCTCGCCGGTTGATCCGCTTCAATGTCATCGAGACACACCGCGCACTCTGGCCCTATCACCAATTCCTTCCCGGTGACCTTGGGCAGCTTCTCCAGCTCAGCCGCCGACAACCCTTTTTTCTTCACCGGCTTCACCTCCCCTCCGAAATCACTCTGATTGTAATTCGTAGAGCACCACAATAAACAAATGTAAATAAGGAAAACAGCACTCATCCCTGCACATGGTAAGAACAGGGCTAAAAAAACAGAGACGAGCATTTGCTGGTCGGCGGCGGCGGCGGCGGCGTTAAAAGCTGGTAGTGGGGAAGGAGGTAGGTAAGGAGAAGGGGCATAATTGAGAGCAGGATGCATGGTATAGAAAGGAGGGTTTTTCTGGGAAAATATGAAAAGAAAGAATTTTGAGGGTTTAGGGGGAGCGATTCGGAGGAGGTAGGTAACGACTATGGGAAGGGGGGTAAGGGAATGGTGAGCTGTTGTGTTGGCGAAATAAGAAGACGCGTTTCGTGACGGAAAAGGAAATGTCGGAAACGGCAGTGACGATTGCAAAGCCTTCCGCCATATATAATCTGTTGTGTTCTGTCAAGCACCAAAGTCCATTTAAGAAGACCCGGAGACACGTTACGTACAAGTTTCGGTGGTGTATTTGATTGGTGAGAATCTGTGGGCTGGAAAATTGAATGGCTTTCTCTAAAGGGAAATGATTTTTGCATAAATTTTTTGTTTTTGTTTTTGTTTTTTTATAATTTAATATGTTATTAAAATAATTGATTCTTTTAATTCACATGAGATTCATGATATTGAATGTATCAATTCATTTAATAACATATAACAATTGTATAAAAATATAAGACAAAAAAATTATTCTGATAACGTCACCTTTTTATAAAATCACTTGTTAGATTTGGTTTTATTGTATTTTTTTATATAATATTTAGGATTTTTTAATTTGTATTTTTAAAATACAAATTAAAAATATATAAAAAGTAAGACAAAAAAATTATTCTTACAATACCACCTTTTTATAAAATCACTTGTTAG